TTTTCCCTGTTCGCTTAGTCATCTGTAAACGACACTGGAACAGCTGACAGGCCTGTGGATTTACTCAGCCCAACTTTCCCGCAAGTTAAATGGTCGCTAAGGAAGAACATTAAAGGGGTCACCGTGATACCATTGAGCTTGAAACTTTGTTCCGAACAAATATATGACGATATCGATATGGATGTTATAAATGTGCCATCTACGTACAAAACCTTTACTCACAACTTTTATATGCAAACCAGGCCCAGCCCGTCTTCAGAACAACAAGGTGAAGTGGTTGACAAATTGTGTGTAAAGCTGTTTGCGCAGTTTACTCCACTGTGACATTGTCAATAATACAAATATTTATTTTGCATAAATAATGCGTAGCATATTTGACAAAAATTTATTATATTAATTGAAATAAGAATACCAATCGTAGATGACATGACGGGGCTAAAGTTATCTCTGACCATTCGCAAGATGATCGATGACTTTCCGACTGCACTGTCGCCGGCCATCATTATCCTGAAGGTGTGGTCGATTGGGTAGTTGAGATCGGTAACCTCAAATAAAAATTAAGATTATTTGATCAGTGCTGAAATAATTACAACCACAAATTAAATGGCAAGGCAAATAAAACCCACGAGCAAAACATTATTGCCGTAAATCAGTAAAATCGCAATCTTTATAATTATACACCGTTATACATTTTCGCAAAACATAGAACATGGGTTTACTGATGCATATGAATAAGCACGATTGCTACTCTAGAGCAGTGGGTAGACATGGAACTCAGAAACTCATGAAATCAAGTTTTAGCCGAGTTATGCTCTCATTAGTATGTTCTGACATACAAAAGGATGTATTTAATGCTTTATGAAAATATATGTATAAAGACTGGTCTGAAAAAGTCATTGTTAAAGAGAGGCTAGAGGCGTCTATACTCTACATGTACTCAAACAGCACGGAGCATAGTCTGCTTAAATGGCCACCTAGGAATCTATAGGCAAGTGGACAATACGCCGTGAAACCTGGTTTGCAAGAGATATTGTATATACCCCATATTTTTATAATCCTGTTAGAATTAAAAATGGAAATTACAAACTTAATGATGAAGTATGTTATTGAAGAAAGTCAGACAACCTTATCCAAAATGTATTCTATTGTCATTAAGGGACTTTATAAGGGAAAGTCGTTGTCGAAATATTCGTTTACGGCAACTCATTAATAAAGCTGCTGAGAGGATACATGTAAATCGGTGGCAATTCTCCGAGCATCTAACATCTTAACAGGCTATTATTAAACAAGAAATATGGTCAGAACAACGGACCTCGTAGTATGGTTGCTATCACCAGTTTAAATGTGAATGTTAATCTGCTGAGAATTTAGGAAACTTTTAGACAACCAAATAACTACTCACCTTGATTAGTTTCTTATGCTCAGCCATTTCTGTTTTCAGATTTTTGTACTGAACAAGATGGCTGTTTTCAGTCACACCTTTATCTTCGTCCATTGCCGTCTTTTCTTTGCCCTGTTTCTCATCATCGTCAAAGACATCGGAATTGGGAGTCTAAAAGAAAAATCGCCACTGCGCCTCATGAAAGCTTATTACATTGTGGAAATGAAGTAGGAACGAAATCGACAAAAGTGATTATGGAACTGAATCTGACCTTATCAGCAACGCAATAACTTCTTATTTCAGTCGGCGGCTAGTCGTAGAACCTGGTTTCTGTAATAATCATGAGCTTGAGAGTGAATTTATGGCCTGATAAAGTGGAACTGTTGTATTCAAATTAGTGTTTCCATAATTCTTATGTCAAAATCTTGCGGAAAACATCAAGTTTAAAGGTAGGCGCTGGCTTACACCCAATTCGTCACACCCATTTTAACGCCATCGATAAAGTTTGCACGTAGTCACATATCGTTTGCTCATATATCCTGCCAAGCCAAAACGTCTTAAGGATAAAATTATAGGATTAAAGGAATATAAGGATTAAGCCTATGAGAATGACGAATTTTTACTATCAGTTCAACGGTCGTATCTGTTGCTATATCATATGCGTATCAAATAGTCAATAGTATATGGCTTACGAACATGTGAGAACTAACAACAGATCCGATTCCTACAATCTACGAACAGAATCCTTGGCTATTGTTTGCTCCACAGCCGAATACTGCACACCAACATGGCTCCAGGGCAGTTTCGTACGGAACTTTAATTTATTCTTAAGAATACCAGGAGGAACATTATAAAAGCGGTTCATAGCACTCCCCTACTGTGGCTTGAACATACTCCATCCGGAATCAGGAGGAACGAAAGATGCCGAAAGGAATTCTGCAAAATTCACAGCGAGTTAAACGTACCAGCCAATCAAGGTTGTGAAACTTTGCCTCATTCAGGCGTCAAAATCTCTTGCATTGCACTTAGCGAGACCCGGATCCCTGAGTGGCACCGGAATTTAGGCGATCAAGTTAGGATCTGGTGCTACATTCAAAGTTGATACCAAAATTCTTTCTGGGTTGGCAGTGTATGCATACAGGCGGTGGAAGAAAGACTAGCTGAACTTCATGCGGA